AGAGACAACTCTTCCCAAGTCCTGCACCCTGGGATGCCTCTCCTTCTACCACCCAGGCCCAGCCCTCTAAAATTGACAACTACTGGCAGCCACCATGGGACACTCAGAAGGAAGATCTGTTGGCCTCTCAAGCCAACCATGACCCCAAGTACCACCAATGCCACTTTCTCAGTCTAAGGCATCAGAGAGTATCAACGTTTCCAGACAACACAGGGTATTTAGTCTAGAGTCTAACAAAGTGCCTGTTTTCATGATTTACATCACTGTTCTGATCCGATCCTTCTCTGGGCCAGTCTCCAAGCTGCACCCGGAGCTCTAATTATTCAAGTGATGTCATGCTCCTGCTTACAATTCTGATAGGCCTCCCCATCTCACTCAGGATAAGTCCTCAGCCCTTAGCATGGCACTCGGTACCCTTCGAGAGCTGGCTCTGCTAGCCTCTCCACCTTCATCTCTCTCCCCACTCCCTACTGTCCTTGCAACCCTTGTTCTCCAGTCATTCTAAATGTTCCATCTATTTACCCTGCTCCCCATGCCACATTGTCAAAGACAACTATGGGGGCATTAGTGAGGATAAGCATTCCAAACTAAAGGAACAGCATGTGCAAAGTCCTGCTCCTCGGGCAAGGGTCATCTCAGACATCACTTCCTACAGAAAACCTGCTCTTTCTGTCCACCTCTCCCTGGGGTCCATCACTCTCCCTCTGTGATGTCTCCGTGTATAGGGTGTGATTCTACCGGCTTCACTCAGACAAGGAAAGAAATGACAATACCCTGCAATGCGTCCCTCTGAAAAGCAAGCAAGCACTTTATTAATTATGTGTTCTTCATTTTGTCTCATAGCACCTATCTGCAAGGGAGCAAGTTTAAAAACAGGAGCCAGGTTTTCGTCTAGGGACTTGGTTAGTCGATGCAGGTGTGCACAGAAATGATAACAGCCAGCCCTTTTGTGTCTGATGCTTGCTGAGTGCTTTATGTATGTTAACTCATCAAAACCATATGGTAATCATTAAAACCACCCTGAGGTGGGCATCATTATTATCCCCATTTTAGATGGGAAAACAGGCACAGAGAGGTTAAGAAACTTCCCCCAAGGTAACAGAGCCAGAAAGCAGCAGAACAGGGATTCCAATCCAGGTAGTCAGGCTTCAGAGTTCATACCCTTATCTATTCCATTATATGCCTCTCTACGAAAGGAGACTGAGAGGTGCGAGAGACAGTAAGAGCCTGCTCAGTGTTAACATCGACTTTGTTCTCAACATCCACAGAACCTAAAGCTTCTTCCAGGGTTATCTCAGGGAACTTGGGCATCCATCCCCACCCAAACCCAAGTACGAGAGTGCCAAGCCCCGGCCTTGGCAGCAGAAAGAGACACTGGCAGGACCGCACCCTCTCAACTGGGGACAGCCCTCCTGGGGGGGTCCTTCCTTTGTCCTCTCTGCCAGTCCCACCCAGCTCCCGCCTCAGCTGCCAAGACCCTGCCTCCCACCCCTCTGCACCTGGCTGCCCCTGGCAGACAGCCCCAGACCCTTGGTGGAGGATAAGCCTCCTCCAGCTAAGAGCAGCTGCCAGGCCATGCTGGAGCCGGCAAGCATCTTCTGGGCACCACTCACCACCCTGCCATGCCTGGCATGCCAGCAGTTCCACGTTAGGTTGATGGCCCTGCACAGCCCCATGGAGCTGCTATTTTTAATTTAATTGGAGGGTCGGAGGAGAGAGATGGTACCCAGCAAGGGAGTTTAAATGCTTTTGGGGTGGGGGAGGGGGGAGAGAAGGCGAAGCAAAGTTCGTAATTATACACCAGGCAGCCAGATTTGATGCTTGAACAGAAAGGTTAAATGTTACATTCGAAATAAAATGAGAAAGAGTTCTGATGACAGTTGCCCAGAGCTAAATAAGGAAAGAAAATACCTCTTGCCCATCTTCTCTCCAGCTCCCTCCTCTCACTTCTGAGTTTTCCCCCTTCTGCCTTTTAAGGCTGTGCTGTGCTCAAATGCACCAGTTTCAAGCGCAAAGATTACTGCTTAGTATGTCAACACCTTGATTGCCACCCAAAAGCAGCTTTTACCGGAGTCTGAAAAAAAGTCACACTTCATCTCTAAAGCTGAGGAATCCAACAGGGCCCAGCAAGCCAGGAAGGCTGTCTGGCATTGTGGGTTTTAGTATGGACAGACCTAGATTCAATCCCTCTCTTGACAAGCGACAGACACTATGAGTCAGCTCACCCAATGCCCATGTGCCTTCTGTTTCTTTCAACTACCTTCAAGTCATGAGCCATAAGTAGTAGTTAGTTGGGTGAGGTTTTCCTAATATAAAAGGACAGACTCAGATGGCACACTCTCTTCATGCTTCCTTTGTCTGCAGGGAATGTGGACGTGATGCCTGGAGGTGTTGTAGCTATTTTGTGACCATGAAGCAACGAGCCTACACACCAAAGGTAGAAGAATAGAAAGATAGGAGGAGTCCTTGACGATGTAGCTATGTATGCCACTGTTACCTGAGACAAATAAATCCCTATCTGTTTAAGCACCTTTTAGTCTAGTTCTCTAGGAAAGCGAAATCCATTCTTAACTGTGACAGTCCATTATTATTAGCTTGAGCTTGAGTGTGAACTTGAACTTAAGTTTTCTTATTTGTAAATTGGGACAAATATCACTCATTTTTTTTCATGGGCATATGAGGATTAAATGGGACATGTGACTCCATTTGTAAAGTACTAACCACAATGCCTGGAGAGGCAATGGCAGCTGCTGTTTATTAATACTTCTGATTAGTCTGAGAGTGACATCAAATTATAAAATTTTAAAGTCACACCTCATATTTCAATAGCAGTTTCTAGTTTTCAGCGTGACTTCTCAGCCCTCATCTTAGTTCACCCTCAACCCCAAATCTCTGAGAGGAGGAAGTTTTACTCCAGTTTTATCCCTGACAGGTTAAGCAACACGCCCAAAGTAGCTCAGCTAATGACAGGGCCAGCCTGTAACTCAAATCTGACTCCAAGTCCCTGGGGCCTGCACCAGGCTGGTTCTGAGCTGCTCCACTAAGCAATCACCATTCCAGGCCCCCATTTCTTCTCCTGAGGACCAATAATGGCCCCCATTTGGGGATAAAGTTGTAGCTGAGAGAAAATGATTCATGTGGTCAAAGACAAGGTAAGGTGGACTCTGGCTTCCAAACCCCTCATCTGCCCCTGAAACACTGGGGTTCCTTGGGCTTCAGTCCTCAGCCCACTGCATGTGTTACTCTATTCCAGCTTTTAATATCAAGGAGTCACAAGCCCCTTTCACAAGCTGATGGGGAGATGCCGTACAACAGTGGCCAAGAGCCCAGATTGAGTTCAAACTCTTGTTCTGCCACTTACCAAAAAAAAGAATTTTTGTTAAATAATAGTAAGTTGTGGCCCCTTTCTCTGTATTAGTCAGAATAAGCAAAACCGCTGCTGTAACAAACAATCCCCCAATCTAAATGACTGAACATAATAGATTCTTGCTCTTGTCGCCATCCAGCACAGGTTGGTGGGCTGGGTGGGGGCTGGAGAGGGGGCTCTTCCTTCTAATAGTTCTGCCAGATGGAAACTTCTGAGGCCTCCACTGGGTCCTTCGCATCCCGCAGGCTGATTAGAGTTACTTTAGGGGTCAGGTGAATTGACAGAATTCAGTTATGTGACCCTGCCTACCTAACTGCTGGGGGACTCTGAACTGCAGTCTCACAGTTACTGGAGGTCCAATGGTCTCCATCTCAGTCTACTCCATCTAAAATAGCCATCCCTTCCACCCTCAGATCATATTACCTTGGTACACTTGATTCATTTCATTCTTCATCATCTGAAATACACACATTTATTGTCTATATCCCCACAGTAAACTGTAATCTCCTTGAGAACAGAAAGCTTGTGTACCTTTTTCACCCCAAAGTTCCATGCCTAACACAGTGTCTGGCATATAGTATGTTCTCAAATACTTACTGAGTAAATATTTAACTAATAGGAACTCAAACTTTAACAGCATATTAGGGTATCAAGAACAAATAAGGAGTCTTTGGGTGGTGCAAACAGTTAACGTGCTTGGCTGCTAACCGAAAGGTTGGAGGTTCGAGTCCACCCAGAGATACCTCAGAAGAAAGGCCTGGTGATCTAATTCCAAAAAACCAGCATTGAAAATTCCATGGAGCCAGTTCTACTCTGACACACATGGGAACACATATGACCCACCAGCAATTGGTGGCTAGAATGAATGGAGAGGACAAGGCAGTGGGACAACAGGAGGCTCCAGGCCCTTAACCATTCTGCTCAGTGGTAACCACTGTTCACAAGGACCCGAACTTTTCAGATCTGCTCTGGCTTCCTCCCTGCTCTCTCTCCTACTTACACTCCCTGGACCTATGATAATGGCATCATGCTGGGTCTCCCTGGGGCCCCCCAACCTCAGCCATCCATCACAGGAGCCAGTACTGGTTTCAAACAAGTTCTTTAATTGCATATATAAAACAAGACCCTGGCCATGGGTGGGAAAAGCACTCCAGACTCACCTGTGGCAATTCTTCCCTGGCCAGGAAGGACCCGTAGGACTAAAAACTTCAACTCTCCCCGTCCCACCCTCCCCATCCCTAGTCAAAAATAACTGAGAATCCTAGCAAAAGGTCCCAGTTAAAACCTACTCAACCAGTTAAAACTTACTCAATCAAGAAGAATAGAACAACCCAAGGGAAATGCTGGTGAAAAATAAATGGCTGTTGGGTATGGAGCTGGCAAATGGCCACTCCCACCCCAATGACAGGCCACCCCTGGGAAACCGCCCCCTCTAGGGTTTCCAGGGAAGATGCCCTGCTCCTATGGGTTGGATGCCACTCTGGAAACAAGATAAAACTCTAAAACCTAAAACATCATGACTTCATAGCTCTAAAACCAGCTAACTCCATATTCTCCACCACCGCTAGACCCTTTTGCTAAAACCCATCTGCCTCTGCCCATCTAAGCTCATTCACAGGAACAAGCCAACAGGTTACAACCTCATACTCTCGTCATATTCCTCTTTGGTCATCCACTTGGACCTGTAAGTAGAAAGATGAGCCACCATAGATGCTCCTAGCCAGACACTGAAGTTTCGATTGGAACCCGCCCAGATTATAGCCTCGGTGGAGGAAAAGTGATTGGTGGTCAGCTCCTTGTACAGGCGCTTGGTAAAGCCGGGGTACAGGGTGTTCCCCCCACAGGCCACCACATGGGACATGAGCAGCGGGTGCATCGAGGTGTCGCAGGTCTCCAGGGACTCCACGAAGGCCTGGGAGATGCTGGGCCCTGGCAGGTCGAACACCTGGGGGCTGAAGAACATCTCAGGAGCAAGTCGCTGCAGAGGCGTCAGCTCCACTGTGGTGCCATCAGGGAGCTGGTAGGTGTTGCTCTCGTCGGAGCCACTGGGCAGGCTCTGACGAAAGTCCAGTGCCTCAGCCAAATTCTGTGGCACGTAGCACTTGCTAATCTGGGTCGTGGCGACTGTCTCCAGCTGAAACAGGTTGTGCCGGTCACTATCTTCCTTAAAGAGGCTCTTGAAGAGGTAGGCGGAGAGATCCTGGCCGGCAAACTCCAGCGTCTTACAGCTGGAGGGCAACGGAAGACCCAGATGAAAAGATTTCACACGGGTCAGGCCATAGCCAGAATCGACCACCACGCCGGTCAGGAGGCCAGAGGCATACAGTGACATCTCCAGCTGGTCAGCCAGGAGGAGAGAAGGGACATCCAGCAACTCAAACATAATCTGCAAGAAGGGAGACATGTTCAGTGCATTTTCCCCAAATATAGGGCTTGGACCCACTTCTATTTCCCCAAGACCTAGATGTGCTCAACTCTTAAAGTGGACAACGACATGGACTCCCATTCTAGGAGACTCACAGCCTGCCCCTAGAACGGCAGTTCTGGGGCCCTGGAGTTCATGCTGTGGGGACAAGGGCAGGTGGCCAGGGGGGCTCTAGAGAGCTAGTGATGGAGCTGGATCTGCACTCAGAGCTTGTTTGACGGTGACCGTTCAGACTGTATTGGTGGAGAGCGGGGAAGAGCCGTCAGACTGCAGGAGGCGGATGGGTTTGCAGCCTGAATCATCCCTTTAGAAGAGATTATAAAAGTAACAAGCCCTGCATATTCACCGCTGCCTCCAAAAATGTGGAGGTAGAAAGAAATTCACTCACTGCCTTTTAGGGAAAAACTTTTTTTTTTTTTTTCATAGTAACTCTCCGAACTTCAAGGCAAAACTGGAATTCCAATATTCAGGATTTGGCAAAATTCCTGGGCTGACTTTTTCCCCATGTCCCATCACCCCCTGGATCTTTACCCCTGTTGCCATTGAGTCGATTCCAACTCATGGCAACCCATGTGTTACAGAGGAGAACTGCTCCATAGGATTTTCTTGGCTGTAATCCTTACAAAAGCAGATTGCCAGGCCTTTCTTCTGCAGTGCCATTGGGTAGGTTTGAATCACCAACCTTTTTAGGTTAGTAGTTGAGTGCAAACTGTTTCCACCACTCAGAGACCCCTTAGATCTTTACAGAGTCCCACCCAGCCCCCACCCTCTGGCAGGGATCTGAACCTATGGGTGCAGAAAGGCTGTAACTGTCCACCATTCTCTGGCCCCTGGCCACTTACTTACCTCTTTAGGCCCCAGCAGGCCTATCCTGTCCCCTCAGTGGAAGGAATACCCCCTCCATTTCTACCCTCAGAATATTGCCCCCCACCCCATCATCCATTTCTCAAACAGCAGCCAAGGTCATCTTTTTAAAACAGAAAATCAGGTATCACGCTCCTTCTTAAAATTCTCCAGGAGCCTCCATTCATTGAGAACAGGGCTCAGCAAACTTCTTCTGTAAAGGGTCAGACAGCATTGCCAGATTTAGCAAATATAATACAGGACGCCCAGTTAAATTTGAATTTCAGATAAATAGCAAATACTTTTTAGTATAAGTATGTCCCATATAATATTTGGGATATACTTATACTAAAAAATTATTTGTTGTTTATCTGAAATTTAAATCTACCTAGGCATCCTATATGTTATCTAGCAAACTTATGATCCTAAGTATCTTAGGCTTTGCAGGACATACAGTATCTGTTGCAACTACTCAACTCTGCTGTTGGAGTGTGAAAGTAGTTATGACAACATGCAAATGATGGGTGTGGCTCTATTCCAATAAAGCTTTATTTACAAAAACAGGTGGTGGGCCAGATTTGGCCCACAGGCAGTAGTCTTCTTACTCTTGATTTAGAGTAAAACTCAAACGCTCCCCCAAGCCTCTGCTGACCTCACCATCCCACTTGCCTCCAGTGACCCCCTCCCCCACTTGCTGGGCTCCAGCCTCATTGGCTGAAGTCACCTCCTCAGAGAAGCCCTCCTTGACTACCTCTCAAAGGGGCTCTTCCTCTCCCCACTAGTCAACTATCTCTCCATATTGTTTCTACAACCAATCACTATCTGAAATTCATTTTTGTTAGCTTATTCGTGGTCTGAGTCTTCCCCCAGAATGCAAGCTCTATGAGGGCCAGAACACTGTCTGTGAACATTTATGGCATCCATGAATGAATATCTGGTATCTCCTCTCTTGTGTCCTACCCACAGAATATTTTAATTGCTGTATCTCCACCTGCAGGAGGAGCCTCTATAAGCCCCTCTCACCTAGCACTGTGCCAGGCACACATTAAAAAAAAAAAAATACTGTTTGCCATCAAGTCGATTCCAACTCATGGCAACTCCATATGTTATAAAGTAGAACTGCCCCGTAGGGTTTTCTTTACAGAAGCAGATCGCCAGGCCTTTCTTTTGTGGCACCTCTGGTTGGGTTCAAACCACCAACCTTTAGCTAAGTAGCCGATCAGAAACCACTTGCGCCACACAGGGACCTGGGCACATACTGTTGTTATGTGCCATCGAGTTGATTTTGACTCATAGCAACCCTACAGGACAGAGCTGCCCCACAGAGTTTCCAAGGAGCAGCTGGTGGATTCGAACTGCTGACCTTTTGGTTAGCAGCCTGAGCTCTTAACCACTTCCCCACCAGGGCTCCAGGTGCATACTAGGTACCCAGAAAGCATTGTGGGACAAATGCTTCAAGAAGCAGAATTCTCAACACCTGTCATGTCCAGACACAATGCCACCCAGTCCAGCCTCCTCCCCAGCCCCAAAGAAGGCAGCCCAGAGAAGGCCTTACCTCCAGGGTCTTCCGTCGGTCCGAAGGCTCCCTCAGGGGGTTCTCGGTGATGATCACTGGGGAGTCCTCGTGCTCATGCCTGTGTTTCTCCAAGACAAACGACCAGATGTGCTCCACGCCCTCCCAGTTGAGCACGCGGCCGCGCTCAATGGGGTAGCTGAAGGTGTCAGGATGGCAGAAGTCGATGCCCAGACTCACACGTCTCCGAGCATAGCTGGGGCCGGGGTTCTCCCGGCATGGTATGTAGTTTACGATGCTTGGTAAAACCATCTGGGGTTCATTCCAACCAGACAAACCAGCCTTCAGAAAGCCAGACCCGTGGTCGATGATAATGGTTCTTGAGCCCATGGCAGAGGCAGATAGAGAGGTCTTCTGGATGTGGCTTCCCGAAGATGTCCGGCAAACTAGGGCCACCTATGGAAGAATGAAGCAGAGTATTGATGAACTGTTTCTAGGCCACCATGGACTGCTTCCCAGCCCCACACTCAGAGTCAGGCCTCAGGCTCTCCCTGAAGCTTGCTCATTTCCCCTTCCAAGCTTTGCACAAGCTCTAAACCGTGCTTGGCATGTTCTCTCATCCCAAACTCCCAATCATCCTACAAGGCCCACCTAACAGGTCTTATCTGGGAAGTTCTGCCAATCCCCACTCCTTCCCACCAAGCTTCCTCCATTGTACTTTGCACATATGCCTATTACATCAGGTGGTGTTTTTGCTCCACAAGAGCAAAGGTTGGGTCTTATTACTATTTGCAGACTTAGTAAGAAGCTTGGCACATAGGAAGGACTTGGTGGACACTGGCTGCCTCATCAGAGGACTCAGGGAGCAGGAAACAGCAGTCTCAGGAGCCATTGTCTTCAACACCAATAGTACTATAGTAGCAACAGCAGCAGTAGCAGTAACAATAATAAACAATGATGATGATGTAGCTATACAGCTACCATTTCTAGAGTACATACCCTCTACCTATCACTACAAGGAAACTTTTACATATTATATTTAACTATGTGAAACTGTCCTTTATACAGGTCAAAATGGTCGAAAATCAGCAAATTCTTATGGCTCAACCTAATATTTTGATTCATTTAATCTTCACCATGATCCTACAAGGCATGTCCCATTGTTACACTCATTTTACAGATGAGGAACTTGTATCCAGAACATATAAAGAATTCTCAAAACTAAAAAATAAGAAAAACAACCTGATTTTAAGATGGGCGAAAGATTTGAACAGACACTTCACCAAAGGAAATACATCAGGAGCAAATAAGCACATGAAAAGATGTTCAACATCATTAGTCATTAGGGAAATTAAATTAAAACAACAATTAAATACCACTACAACCCTATTAGAATGGCCTAAATTAAAAAGACTGACCATACCAAGTGTTGGAGAGGATATGGAGGAACTGGAACTCTCATACACTGCTGGTGGGAATGCAAAAACATACATCTATCATATGACATAGCAATTCCACTCCTAGGTATTTACCCAAGAAAAATAAAAACTTATATTCACCCAAAAACCTTTGTGCGCATGTTTATAGTTGCTTTAATCCTAACTACCCAAAAGTAGAAACAACCCAAATATCCTTCAAATGGAGAATGGATAGGTAAACATCCATTCAACTGAATAAATTCATCCATTCAATTGAATTCAATTCAATCAATAAAAATGAACAAATAACGGATACATACAACATGGATGAATTTCTAACGCATTAAACTGAGGGAAGGAAACCAGACTCAAAAAACTATATACTATATGATTTCAATCATATGACATTCTAGAAAAAGCAAAACTCTAGGAACAGAAAACAGATCAGTGGTTGCCAGTAGCCAGGGATAATGAGAGGGGATGACCACAGAGGGGCGTGGTGGAATTTGGGCGAGGTGATGCAACTGTAGGTCCCCGGCTGGCTCAAATGTTTGCGCTTGACTACTAACCTAAAAAGTTGGTGGTTTAAACTTACCCAGTGGTACCACAGAAGAAAGGCCTGGTGGTCTGCTTCTATAAGATGACAGTCAAGAAAACTCTATGGAGCAGTTCTACTCTGTAACATATGGGGTAGCCATGATTTGGAACTGACTCAATGGCAATGGGTTGAGTTTGATTTCAGACACAACTGTACTATACCTCGATTGTGGCGGTGGGTCCGTGACGGCATGCATTTGCCAAAACTCCCACAACTAAACACTAAAAAAGGTGAATTTTACTGTAAGTTAACTTAATATTTTAAAAATGGGAAAACTCAATGGGTGTGGGATACTTGAGGAAAGATTTATGAGATCACCTTGCAGACAGCAGACTCAGCCTCTAGACTCCTTGTGGACACCTCACGTAAGACAGACATTAGGAGACGGCTCAGCCCCAAGGCCGCTCTCCCGGCTGTCACTCTGCTAACAATCTGCTCGGCTTCAGTTTCTGGACAGCAGCTTCATCTGCCCATCACTATTGAGCATGACAGCTGCTGCTCAGCCTTGGCCAGCGGGTCCTCGCTGTCACCAACCTCGGGGCAGTGATTAGGCTTCACCACATTTAATCAGCTCTAACATCAAACTCGGAGAGAGCAAAAAGGAGGAGAGAGATGGTGCCGAGGCGGCCAGGTCTCCTCCCTCGCCTGCTGGCAGGCCGAGTGATGGATTCCTCACACTGAATCATCCAGAGTGATGGAGAACCAGAATCCTGGATGACACTCCGGGAAGTGGGCTCCCCTGCTACCGGCCTCCCCCACATCAAGAGAGGGGGTGACTGCTAAACCCTTGCTTGGCCCTGGCATTTGGAGCCACAGGCAATGCTGTCAGGTGGTCTCCACTCTCACTGTCAATCAGGAGGCTCACTGAGGGAGACTCCAGGCTGGTGGTCCCACTGACCTGGCCTGAGAGCATCAGGGTGGGAGACAGGGGCCATCTCTCCATCCCTCCCCTAGACTGTGATGTTGGAAGAAATTTGGGGTGGCTCCAAGGAGTTGGCTGTGAGGATAGCAGTAAGATCTACATATTCAAAAGCATTTTTATTCAGTCATCTAGTCTACAAATCCTTGCTGAGTACCTAAACCAGGAAAAAAAAAAAAGTTGCCATCGAGTTGATTCTGACTCATGTTGACCCCATGTGTGCACAGTAGAACTATGCTCCACAGGATTTTCACAGCTGTGACCTTTCAGAAGCAGAACGCCAAGCACTTTCCCAAGGTGCCTCTTAGTGGGGTCAAACCGCCAACCTTTCAGTAAGCAGGCAAGCGCTTAACTGTCTGTGTCACCCAGGGACTCCTACTATATGCTAAAAACTATTCTATGTGCTGGCGATTCACAGTGAACAAGACTGACATGGCTCCTGCCTGCCTGCAGCTTACATTCTATTGAAGTAAAACAACCAGTAAGCAGCAAATCAAATACACCATGTCAAAGGGGATGGAGTACAATGGGGAAAAATAAATTCTGCCAACAGGGACGGGGCGTGTAGGGGGCACAGAGGCACAGTATTATTATAAATAGGGTAGCCAGAAAAGGCCTCTCTATAAAAAGGTAATATTTAAGCAGAGAGCTGAGTAAAGTGAGAGCATAACTTGTGCTGTTGAGTCGATTCTGACTCATAGCGACCCTATAGGACAGAACAGAACTGCCCTATAGGGTTTCCAAGGAGTGGCTGGTGGATCCGAACTGCTGACCTCTTGGTTAGCAGTCGTAGCTCTTAACCTCTATAACAGGAAAAAAAAAAAAAACCAAACTCATTGCCATCAAGTCTATTCTGACTCATAGCAATGCTATAGGACAGAGTAGAATTGCCCCATAGGGTTTCCAAGGAGCAGCTGGTAGATTCAAACTGCCAAGCTTTTGGTTAGCAGCTGTAGCTCTTAATCACTGTGCCAAGACATTCCAAGCCAAGAGAACAGAAAGTGCAACGGTCCGGTCCGGGGGAAGAAATACCTACATATGTTCCAAGAACAGCCAGGAGGCTAGTGTAGTTAAGACTTGGAGAGTTGGGGGTGGGAGGTGTTGAAGATATTGAAAGGGCCTTTCAGGCCTTTGTATTATTTCACATAGAAATGTAAGAAACCACTGGGGAGTTGAACACAGGTCTGATGTGATCTGATTCAAGTTGTGAAAGGATCATTTGGGCTGAGATGAAGAACAGGGTGTAGCAAGCAAGAGCAGAAGCAGGAGGTGGAAGGAGGCAAAAGATGATGGTGAAGAGGATAAGAAATCATCAGATGCCGGATATATTTAAGAAAGGCTCGTACACTGGAGTGTGAGACCAGGAGAAGAAAGAAGGAAGACTCCAAGAAAAACTAAGAATGAAGTATCCATTTACTGAGATGGAAAAGACTACAGGAGGAACAGGTTGGGGTAGGGGAGGAAATCAGGAAGTTTATTTTGGACATGTTAAGCCTGAAGTATATGTTAAGTAGAAATACATGAAGATGCCCACAGAACAGAGCTCAGAGAAGGTGTCTGAGCTAGAGTAATAACGGAGTCATTGAATAGATGGAATTTAAAGTTATGGGGTTGGAGAAGATCAAGGGAGGTAAGCCTAAGCAGAGAAAATATTTCTAGAAAAGAGGAATCAAATGTACTGAGAAACTAAGATGAAGACAAAGAAACATCCATTGCATTTAGCAACAGAGGAGTCATTAGTAACCTTAGCAGGAGCTAAGGCTTAGGCTCTGGCACACAACTAACTCTGGGTTTCCCTGCTGTCTTCCTGACCACTCTTTCTCAGTCCCCTTCACTGGTTCCTTCTCAAAGCTTGACTTCTGAACCTTAGAGTGTTCTCTGGCCTCAGTATTTAGGTACATTACCTCCCTTGATCTTCTCCAACCCCATAACTTTAATTTCCGTCTATTCAATGACTCGCTATTATTCCTCTAGCTCAGACATCTTCTCTGAGCTCTGTTCTGTGGGCATTGAAATGGTGAGGGTAAAAGCGTGGGAGATGAGACATATTCTACAAAATAACTGGCCTGTGCTCTTCAAAATCATCAGTAATGACAAAACAAGGAAATGCTAAGGACGTGTTCAAGATGAAAGGACATGACAACCAACACAATGCACTTTCTTACATCACGGATCAGCAAAAATTACCCTGAAGAATGTTATCGCGGGTTCAGGTGTCAGCCAAGATGAAGTCAGCCCACTACAACAGCCCTCTCTCCACTGAGTACTAAAAATTCCAGAAAAAATTTTATAAAAAATCAAATTCTTGAGGACTCCAAAATGTTAAAAAAAAAAAAAAAAAAAAGGCAAACACTGAGGAGGAAAGTCAAAACGTAGAGAAGAAACCTGCACAGCGGTGAGGTTCCCGTTTGTTTTATTTCTCTATTTTCTTTTGCAATTTTGACCAGGTCAGGTC